GCATCGAGCGATGCTCGATTCAAATTTTGGAATGAAAAGCACATATTGTATTATATGATAGTATAGATTGGCACTCCAGTTGAAAATTAGCATACGTTCGTTTGTCCCAATAACGATTTAAACAAATAAGTGAGTCATCTAAATTGTGTGGTTCAGTTGCATTTGGATCATACTGTCGTTTCAATGTAAGGCCAACCAGCCAGTTTGATAATGGTGACATTGATCTTTCGACAGGATTGTATCGACTATTACTAGATGTGTAACTGTTTAAAATCATAGCATCTAGTTTTAATTCTTTCCATAATTCACCATAATTAAATATATTGCACGGACATTTGCCTGACCAATCAGGTCCATTATCACTTGTTAATATTGCAACAGATTTACCGAGTTGAATTGATGGTTGCATTACGGATTCAAGATTATAAACGTGCATTGAACTGGTTGATTGAAAAGATTGAGTACAAAATGTACGCAGATGCATATTCCCATCAGTGGAATAAAGTATGTGTTCACGTTTTATATTATCAAATTTTGAAAAAAAAACCAAATTTCAATTGCGTTTCGAAAAAAAATTAATTTCATGCTGAAATAAGAAGGACCTTAGGGAAACCGTGAAAAATAAGTCTACGCGTACATATAGATCAATATCATTCTCTTTTCTTCCTCTGGTTTTGCTGAACTGTATTTTTCTATTTATAAATATCAGTTACACATAGGTATGTTACAAACCCAAACCCAAGCGACTTCGGTGTATTGGGTTTGGGTAACCAAGTCTAAGACTTGGGTCTGGGTACTAGGAATCCAAGTCTCGGACTTGGGTTTGGGTCAGTTGCCAAAGTACATTAATATTCTTCTTCAATGAAACTTAGCAGTAGTACCTTACGCTCTTCTGCCATACTATTCATTTATGAACAATTGGCCATTGAAAAAGAAAGGAAAAATGCAGAAAAGGAACGAAGATAAATTAGTTCGCTCATCCTGGCTTTTTGCCATACTCATACATTAGTTCACCAAGCCTTTTTCTCTTTTTTGATTAATCTCATGGTAATGTTCGTTTTTAGCCAAGCTCCAAAAAACTAGTGAAAAGGTATACTAGACGAAATAATCTAGTTTTCATCATTTGCACCGAAAATTAAAACCCTCATCACTTAGTCAGAATTGTTCCAGACTGCGTCAAAATACCGACATGTACTCGACTCTATCTGCTTAACCGTATTCTGTAATAGGTATTAGCATGAAAGATTCTCTTCCTCTAAAAGCTTTCTAGAAAAGCTTTCAAAAAACCGAAATACTTTGTATCGGGTTTTAAAACAGTTAGTGAACTTAATCGNATGAATTTTTTAATTTTCAGTGCAAATAATGGAAAATAGATTATTTCGTATAGTATCGCTTTTCACTAGGTCTTTGAAGCTTGTCCAAAAACAAACATTACCATGAGATTCAGCGTGGTACTTGACGGTACACAAAGATTGATGTGGTACACAACCTGCAGATGGCGTCCCAATGATTAAATGGGAGAATTATGATACTTTAAACATTTTTTTCCATCACGTCTTTATTTCATACTAAAAAATATATTATACTAAAAAAAATTTAAAGTGACTACTTGAAATATATTATTCTTTCTTATGCGATTCGTAAAGAGTCTGTTATAGTATCTCAGACTCGTAGGAAATGACAGCTGAGAACTTTGTGTTCGACAATGGGTACAGGAAGATACCTTACAGGGAGCTCTACCTCTCGAAAAATGAGACTTCGGTCTCTCGATATATATATTCGAGGGGTAATCGATTCTGAGGCCTCGAGTTTCCGACAGGTCGCGAGCCCTCGAGAAAAATTCCGAGCTATC